AGGTTGAAAATATCTTCTATGTAATTGGACCAAATGGAATTTGCCTGCCTGGTGGTTAATATGTTTCAAAGTTTTTGCTTAGTATTGTCACTAACCATTAGCTGTTAAACTAACTACCCTCGCTATTGATGCATAGTCAAATGTATGAAGATCATGTAAACTGAAATTAGATTTTTCTTGTGAACATATTGGTCAACCCACGGGTGTGCGCCCAAATCTCTAAGCACAAGCGTCACGCGTATGCCTTGTGATCAAGAAGTGCGGATATAAATAACATGCTGACGCTTAAAGTTATTACAACCTCTTACTACCGATCGGGCGTGAAACATCGTGAACAAAGAATAACAGAATACATGAAATAGCCGAAATACTGCACGCGAACTAGAGCACATCCTCAACAAACCAATACTAAAATGATAAGCCGTGGAATAGTAAAGATCTGGAAAGAAACAAACATCATCATAGGCACCAGATGCCTGTCAGGATGGTTATTCCCCACGCACGTCACAACTTCGTCTTGAAGTCAGCAAATTAAATACGCCGGTAATATCTCTCTGTCGACCTGGTGCCCCACGGGCGAGAGACGCAGCTGGTGAAAGGCTGCTTTCTTATCAATGTCTTCCATGAAGGATAGATGGATGGCATATTTTTTATTGCATGACAGTACTTACGCACGTTAATTTAGCATTCTAAACTACTTTGAATGTTCGCATTTTCTTTCAATATCCTTTCGTCTCTATGCATTCCTTCACTGTGATTGGTTTAGAAAGCTCGTGCGACTTCCTCAACCAATAATAACAAAGACTAAACCACGACTTGGTCACTCGCGATTTTCCGCGCTTCAGACAGCTTGTTTGTTGTTACAGTGAGTTTTCGGTAGCTTCTTGTGATATTCTCCTTTCTTCTGATTGTGATTCCTTTGGTTTTGGTCCTATGATTCTCAATTTAAATGTGCTCTATTGCAACGCATATGAGAGCGCAGTTATAATAATTTAAAAGTATGTGGCAGCCATACTCTCATCTGCCACTATCGATAACTTGAACATGAAGCTGACTTCAGTAATACCTTTGTTTCAATTACTGCCATAGACAGACGCGCACTTCTTTTGACGCGCTTGTGGCCGCAGTATCTACTGAAAAAAGCAAATATCTGGAAATCTTTTTTCCCAGATCAGGCTTGCTCCAGTTGTCAAAACGAGAAAACATTTCGAGACAAGACTAGACGGTGGAAGGAAAGAATACCTCAGGCTTTTCATTCCTATAGAAAGAAAAAAGCTGAGAACCAAACTGAATGAAAAAAAATAACAACAAAAGCATTCAGAATAAGAAACATTGTTATTTTTTAATTATAATTACATTTTTTCCGTGTACTTTAATCGGAGCTCTCTTGAAAATATCATTAAATTAGGGAACACACTTTAAAGGTGAGATTTAATAAAACAGAAAAACCGATAGAAAGTTACGGGAATCGCAGATAAACATGCCAATTAACGCAAATAGACATGAGAAACACGTAGGGAATATGAGAAGCAGAGGATAGTAGTGCGATCGGTTCTGGGTTTGCGCCTCTCAAACGCTCCCCTTAAAAAGCATATTTAAATCTATATCTATATGGTGTGCAAGCACGATAAACGTTTAACTCCCTTAAAAATCATTGGATCTTGCTCTCACCAGAAGCATCTTTCAATTTACTTATTTAGCAATTCTTGCGAAGCTATTGTTTATTCTTCTATGTACATGATCGACAAGGCCATGGTCTCGTCGATTGTAAAGTTGCATAAAAAATTTTACTTCATTTTCTTGGAATTTTGCAGACATAACCACAGAGAAAACGGTGGAGAAAGTATCTCTAGCTTTATATTAATCTAACTCCATGTCATTTTCTGTCGAATCTAGTCTAGAAAGTAACTTAATGTCTTAGATCAAGTGATCAGTCATTACTTATGAGAAGCGCTTTAAAGACGTTGGACACAATGAATCTTGGGTAACAGTCCTGATACATGACGTAATAGACGTGACGTTGCGCATTGTCATACACCGTTTGGTCAGGTTCCTCCAAGACTTCTTCGATATGCTGGCGAGTCTTGTGGTCGATACTGACCTATAGGAGGTGAAATAAAAAAATTAACGGGTGGGGTGGGTAAAATTATGGCAAATGAGAGCATAACATGACCTACATCTTCGTCACTAGACATCAGCTTTGTCTAGGAAAGAAAACGCAGGTGGCAAATGGCATGCTTTCAGAACCAAGTTTTCTTAAAATGTGTAATAGGAGTGATGAAAAACCTTGCCCACATGCGTGACAGTGGTTGTCTCTCATGTTTTTTCTCTATTATTTTGCGCGGGAAATCGGCGCGCGGCCAGCCAACATTGACCACCTTGCGCATGTCTGACGTTTGGCCGCTGTGTTAGGGTAGGCTCATGTTATCCGCTCAGGTAATTAATCAGAATAAAGGATTTGCTTCACCTTGCCCAATCGCAGGCCAGGTATTTAATAATTAAACTCGATACTTTCTGTTTATTAAGATGCAACGAGTCATACAACTATGTTTGCCCTATCATCTCACCGATACAAGAATGTGCTTTGGAAGAGGTGCCTTGGACTGATCAGCTATCAGTATTTGCTATTTGTCAATTTGGCGGCACTACGACGCTGCTGCCGCTATCACGTGGTGTGTTTGTCTGTGATACGTGATCATGTGACAAATGACCAACCCCGAAACAATCTGTCTTACTACTAGAGTTTTCCTTTAAAACGAAGGACGGATTGAAGAAACCATCAATTTTTTGCCATTCCTTTAATGGGTTTCAGATTATTTTTTTCAAACACTGACAAACTGTAACACATAAAATAGACCTTCATCACTCGGCATTCATGTTGAGTTTACATGAAAAATGAAGCTTACGCTTTCCCCACATGTCTAGCCCTGCAGCAAAAACGAGTTTAGACAAAGCTTTTCTTTAAGGGACTCAAAATGACTGCTACGTATCGAAGTTCTACAGGCATTCCTTTAAAATCATCATCTAACGGTAAAATCCACATCTTCTTCGACATTTTTAGTGCCCCTTACCCCTAAGCTGCTTGAGTGCCCAATTAAGCCAATTAAAAACGTACCTAAATCCAGCAAAAAATTCATTGTTTTTAGCAGCCTCAAATCCGCGAACTTCTCATCTTTTGAAAAGATCACTTACACAAAATCCGACATAAAACTTTTCACGGACTTCAGGGCATTTGGAATTAAATGTACATAAAACCCATTTTATTTTGCCCACCTCTTTTGGAGACTCCGCTGAAAGGTAATCCCGGTAAATCGACTGCGCAAGTTCTTTAAAAGTCGCCTGATCTGTTTCCTTTTTAAGTTTCTCCACTGCGAGCCAAAACAATAAGTTCTCCTCTGAGTACTGGGACTTGAGAAAGTCGTGGAAAATTTTTACCCCAGCTTAAAAGGAAAATTGGCTGTCAGTCTGGCTCAAGTTACCACATTATGCACTTGACGAGTAAGAAATCCCTTGGTACCAAGCACTCAATTTACGCGATTTCTTAACGTGACAGCTGACACTAATCGAATACGACAAAACCCGGATGGTTACCCGAGTCACGCGATCACCGACACTTTTAAAGCTATTTGCACAATGCACTCGACAACGAGCATACACAAAGAGTGTACGCTTTCATCTGCCGCACAGCCGGTGGAACAAGGAGAAGAGGATTGAGAAAAACACTTTCAATATCACACAACCTATTTCAAAAATGTTACAGGGTAAACAAGCTCCCCCTTCAGCAGTATGGATGGCAGTATCCTGAATAACGGTTATACTTGGACTCAACAAGTAGAACAGGGAAAGGGTGAGGGGGGGGGGGTTGTGTGACAAGCACGGTTGCTGAAGAGTCTTCAGGTAAATGTCCAAATATAGAGAACAAGGAAAATTTTGAGTATACGCTACATAGAAGCCTTCGATGAATATGAGAGAAAGACATTGTTTTTGTCTCAATTGTTTTTTTGGTTTTGTTTTACCGCGAAAACGGGGCGAATTGAATGGTTTCCGTAAACACTTTTAAAATTGCAATAATATTGTTTTTATTGTATGCAACTTACTTTTGCTTGTGAGTAATTTTTCAAAGCTTATTCCCCATTCTTGAACTTCTTCTCTGGAAGGTCTAGGAACAGAAAATTAATATGAAATAATCAAACAACGGTTATATCAACAAGTATACAACTTTTCCTTTTAAATGTATCGTTCAAGTGAGGCAGCAGTTTGGTTGAAACGGCATTACACTGTACCTTACTCTACAGTCATTAGTCAGTGGTGTATTGTAAGTAATATAAAGATGATAAATATTGCAAAGAAGGGAGGAACTCTTTCGAAATCGAGGCAAAGTCTAAAAGAAAAACAAGTTTAATAAACTTTACAATAATGAGACCGCAGTAGTGCACTAAACCCATTGTGTGGAAGCTCATTGTCACTTTGGACATGTATATCTAAGACGGTGACAGTGAGAAAAGACCTCATGTTCATAATTGTGTGAACAATATAACGCAACTACACGAAGACGAACATACTGCCTAAGTCAGAGCGACCAAAGGAAATTTATATTAACCACTTGATGTGTCGTTGCTAGTCAAAATAATGAACCAAGTGAGACATGTATTCCAGACAGACACCATTGACGGAAGGTTAAATTAATTACGGTGGATTCGGCGGTAAAAACAGTCTAAGATTCCCGCTTTTGAAAAAAATAGCCCTCCGCTGTTGAGTGAGAATTTTGAGCTGTCATGGATACCTTTTGAAAAATGATACTCCTCCGGTAAACAGGAGGATTTGGTAATAAAATACTAGTGTGCACGAACGAGACGTAGAGGTCCTTGGGCGTATCACTTCCTCAGTGCGTGATTAAACTACGAACGAGTTTTCACCGACAACATAAAAGATGTACTCGTTACGTTTCAAATTTGCACATTAGAGAATTGGTAATTTCTACTCTATTTAATGGTCCACCGAGCATTTGTCCCAACTCACTGTTTGAGCATCACGTTATTGCAGCAGATTTAGAAACACAACAGTGACGACGATAATCCACTCGCATTTCAGTCTAATTCCTTTCAGTTTCTAGTCGTCCTCCTTAAAATGTCTCCGAGCCATTTGTTTTTATGTACACCATGATACACATACTCTAGTTGTTGACATTATTTCTCTAAGTCGTAGCCTTTCCACCACAATGGATAATGAACAAGGTAAGAGAAGGCGAAAGTTGATCAACGTACCCACTGGCATCACCAAACCTTCCATTTCCATTCAGACAAATACAACCCAACTGCATCGAAGCGACAGTGACGAAAACCGCAGAGGAAACGGCCTGGATTACGCTCAGAAACCTTTTAAGAACTCCAAAGTATTGACTATATTGGATGCTAGCAATATGGATTTCAAGAAAAATTCCGAACCAATAAAGCTAACGAGAACACTGCGCGAACGTGTCGAACTATCTGACGAAGTAATTCACTCGATGGATGTCTGACGTAAAATGACCCGAGCGCCGGTTCGACTCGAATTTCGTTCACCTGACTGGCATTGTGGCATTCTCGGAAGTGAAATTGTGCAACCCCTTTTGAATATTTCCTGTTTGAATCAGAATACATATTTGGGTTTTTTGTCAGAATTACAGCTGCATTCCGCAATAGAAGAGAGATGAAAATTTCCCGAAAGCGAAAATTGAGTTACATTTTTGCAACTACAGATAGCTGATACGTGTGGGACGAATAATTTACTCTGATCAATAACTCGTGAACGAAACTTAACACCAAATCAAAAGGAACTGCGAGTAACTTCGGTGCCAGAAAACAGGTTTTTCGCTGTTCAGTATTACTGAAAGGTCCTTCTTTTGTGGTAGCATCTAAAGGCAAAGAATTCAAATGTTTAGAGCGGTTTCGGCTCTAAACGGGTTTCAATACAAAATCAAAGCGATGTCATGTGCTTGTCACAGCTTCAGTAATCCGGAAAATGTTACGGCTACTGATCCAGTTTAAAATTTAAGAGCAAGGATATCGAGCATATCGAAATATATTTGAAAGTTTTCGGTTTAATACAATTGAAATAACGCGACTCCGTTCATATTGAAATAGGCCACGTTTCACTGCCGACATCCGGAAAACTGTTAGTTTTACACAGCAACAAGAAGAACGGCGATTCATTTTTTTGTCTTACTTGGGATTGTATTTGTTGTCCTTCGCTGTCTCCATGCTTCCAACTCTGAAACGGCGAGCGGGGCTGGTGAGATAGAAGAGATAAAGAAAAAGCACGTATTGGTTGAGTTAGATACCACAATCTCCCAACAGGAAAATAAAAAAAAACAGCGACTAACACCAAACAAACCTCTATCTCGGCGTTCGGCAAATCTAAAAGTGTCGCCTTTGCGGTTGAGAGATTTACATTTCAGAGCAAAATACTCTCGACTTGTTATATTTTCTACGACAGCGACCACGCACGAAACCTTGACCGCAATTATAATGAATGCTACACTTGTAAAAAAAATTACGATTCTAAAAGCATCCAGCGGTGATTTCGTGTAAATCCGTGGACTGAATATATTCTTTTCCACACGCAACGTTTAAGGAGCCCAATATTTGCCATGAAATCTATATCCATGAGGAATTTAAATTAAATCTCTGATTAGCATGCATCGTTCAAGGTCTCTTAAATTTCTATTTAATTTCATAGTCCTTCGAAATCCACTTAGAAAATAAAACGATTTTAAGAGCAGATTTCATGCCTCTTTTAGAGGTAATAATATCTGGACTGCCAGCAGAGCGCTCAAAGTATTTGGTCTATTAATGGAAAAAGGCCACAAAAAAGACTAATACATAAATTACATTTATCACTGGAAGTGGGTAATCTGTCATCTGCAACGAGACTCAATTCGCAATATTCATTACAGGTTAAGCTGGTTGATATTTTTGAAAATCTTTAGTTCTAGCTTACAGATAAGTTTCAGCAACTGAATATAATCGAGAGTTTTTGTATCTTATTTATCGAGCCGAGAATTTTGAACTGTTAGAATTAGCGATTAGATAAACAATAATTCTTTTCACTGAAAATCCGCGCTTAATATGAAATAAAGCCGTCCCCCACCGACAGATTGAGTAAATAACTTTTTCATTATTGATTGTAACTATTCATAGAGGTTTAAGCTCCCATATTTGTAAGATGACATTATCGGTTAACTGGAAAAGGCAAACGAAAATTAGAGATTTAAATTCATGATATTAATACTGCGTGTATTGAACACCTTCAAATTGGCAAAGTTCAAGTATGATATCAGTAATTATCAACTCTGAATTAACAATGCTTTCAAGTCTTTGAAATTAGTCAGAGTAATGTTTGAAAGAAACGTTCAATAAGATAAGTCTGTCAGACCATTTGCTTTTAATTATCGGAAAAGTGAGTCGTTAAAAGAATAGAGCAAAGTACTCCAGCGCCAGGAAACTCGTGCTCTTGCATCTTAAAAAGAAAAATGAAATATGTTGCTTTGTACTGGTTATTATTACAGACGGTGTCTGGTGTCTAAACTAGTACTTTTCATTAGAAAAGTTAAAATTGAAATACAAGTACGCTCCATCTAAGCCTCTCAATTCGACAGTGTAATCAATGTGCAAAATTTATTACCTTACCGTGATTTGACTTATGTAGATAAGTTATCCCCTGTTATAACTGAACACGAGCAGAAGGCCATAACAACAAAATCTAACTATGCGATTTTGACTGTTTGGCTGGCGTTGAAAGTCGAATCTATTACTTCTATTGCATTGCACATTTCTCATATCAGTTGCGATAAAGATGATAATAATTATGATAATAATAGGTTAAAAACTAATAATAATAATATTAGTAATGATAATAACAATAACAATGATAGGAGTGGATCTTTCTTTGATTTAGATTCCTGACTCATGTGTTCTGCCTATTCTTTGGCTGATAACTTATAGCTAGCTGAGCCTTGACAGCTGAGATATATACCAGTACAAATCAAACAGTATAATCCCGAATCCTGTATAAATGGATCTGAAATATGTTATTTACTCTACAATTAGATTTTAGTTGTGCGCAATATCGTTGAGGGTTGCAAAAAACTGGCTCATTTATGTACTGCAACGGATTTTGTAACTACGCGCAAGATATTTGGATCGAGTTAGACCATGTATTTGCACCAATCCAAACCCTAACTCTAATTTGTCCACTAATCTGTTATAAGAAAAAAAGTTCAGTTGATAAACTAATTAAAAGTCCCGTAGACTAGGCATGTTTACTTAGCATCTGCTCAATAACGGGTCCCAAAGGCACCCAACTGATCACGAGCTCAGGGTCATTCTGGCAATCATACTGATGACAAGAAACCGACATGACTGCGGGTGCAAGATTGGTAGGCACTTTGGTTACTAAGATTAACTCAGAGACGATTCCGATGACCCGATCACCAAACTTCGATACAAAGGTCTCTCGTATTTCCGCTAGCTAGAGCTAAAGATAGGCAGGAGGAGAGAATTCCCGGGAACGAGACCATGAGTTCAATGGAAACAGGATTTGGTTTGTTTGTTCTAAATCACTTCATAAATTTACCGCTGGTCAGCCTTTAAACGACGCTGACCAGCAAACAAAGAAGGCACACTTGACTGTAACAAGATCTTAACCAATCAGCTCGTGGAAAATTTAGACATGTTACAGATATCCGAAAACAGTGAATACCACTTACCAGTACCAATCGCACGAGCAACAGAAACACCAGCAGAGACAACAGTAATCTTTCCGTCTCGACAATATTGGCTCACGTGTCACCTCTTCGAATTCAAGAGTGGCTTTTTTAATGTTCGTCTCAGTAAGATAAATTTCAAGCTGTGTATTGGTGCTCTGAATGAAAAGAATAAATTTAAATCGGTTCACTTTCAAAATTCTCGTAAGCTAACAAAACAAAAAAATTTCCCGCTCCCAAAGGGGCAAATAACTGTGATTCCAGGAAACCCAATCTTTTTTTCTTTTCCTAATCAGGAGCATATAACCTAGAACCATTTAGTTATGTTCCAGAGCTGGGTAGTATCAGGGAGCGAAACAAGCCAATAATAATTTATTTCCTAAGTCATAAGTTTCCTATAATGTTGGTTCTGAGAACATGGTGTTTAATTAGATGATATTCTGCAGATGATGCTGTTTTTTTTCTACTGAATCACATGTCTGCTCGGTAGGGTATTGATATTGTACGAGGAAATAACTTCTTGGTCTCTCCTGGGAGTGAAAGGGTTGTGCAAACTTCGCCCCTGTTGTAGATAAAATCGTGTATGATAATCATGCTACAAAAACGATGGATGTTGCTTTGACGAGTATCTTCATAAGACATACCCTTGTGCGGTCTTTTTCAATCGGTTCGCTGAAGTCGTAATACCATGATGCATCCGCCTTTCTACTCTGCACTGATTCACTCTGAAAAACAAGATATTCAATTAGTCAGTTCTACGAGTAAACCTTGATTTAAGCCAAGAGAAATCCCATTATTTTCACCATTATTGTGTACGTTGAAGACAGCTAACACAGTACAAATTTCGTCCTGTGCTTATTGCATGTTACTTATTTTGCCGCGCTTGCCGCACGCGTTTTGTTTTCCCGCGCTGTTACGTCCCTCGTCACCTTGGGTTTTGATTGATTGATCATGCACCGCGTGTTCGAAGAGTCAGCCAAGGTTTGCAAAGAACACCAGTCACTGAGGAAGCACTGTCATTTAAAGGTGCATTTAAACGTTGTCAGGAGAATTGGAATGCTCCATATGTGTATAGTGCTGAACACAGTAGGAGCGTAAGCTCAGCACGTTTTGTAGACCACAGCCAAAATGGAAATGTTTTTAATTTTACAGAGGAAAAACTTCTTGATGCCAAACAGGAAAATAATGATAAGAAAATCCCAAACGCATTCAACAGTACGCCGTTGTCAAAAAAATAGAGCACGACGATTTATGCAGAAAAAATTCTAAGCTGAAAAAAACTGCGCTTACACAACTGCATGTAGGAAAACTTGAATCCAACCGGGAGACCATTGTTTTTCCTGACCAATTTTAATGTAATCAACTTCATTAGAATTATGTGTGTCACATGAAGCAAAACAAAGTTTTGATGACAGTTAATTTTTGTTCTTTTCTGTTTACCTAAAAGTCGTTTGCCTTCAGATCAATTATTTGATTTAAATCAAACATAAAGTTTCGTAGCGCTCATCAAAAGGCAGGCAAAAAATTATCATCAAAAAGATTTTACCATGTTTTATTCCTAGGAACATAATTTGCAGATATGTTTTTCTTGAAAAGTCGAAAAGTGTCAAAAACACGTCCTTGCAAATCGATTCATTGACCATAAGAAGTACAAAGCAACACAATAAAAAAAAGTGTAACAATAGAAATCATGATCAGAACTAACCTTATAGTCCGGCCGATAAAGAGACAAACGGATAATAACAAATTGGAGAATTTAAGAACTGAAATTCAATTTAAAATTTGTCTTAGCCGTAGACTTTATTCTTATAAATTCTCAACACCACAGATTTTTCGCCGAGTGAAAGGAATCACTTATTCTTTTGCCTAAAGAAAGGGGAATTAATATTTAATTAAGAAGATTCCCATCCTTTTTCTGCGAATGCATTATCGGCAAATGGTACATTTCCAAGACCAGGCTTGCGCAACAATGAAAACCAAAACAAATGAACCGAGTAGAGTCATCAGCGCTAACTAATTTCTATTTATCATCCATGTTTAGCCGATTGGTTTTAATCAAAGATAATTACGTTGCGTTAGTCAAAAGTTGCTTTAAATTCGAAACATCTGCTTCAAGCCATATGCTACCACAAAGACGCCCTAATACCGAGCAGCTTATCTCGAACGAATCTTAAGCCACAAACAATCCTCAACAGACACAAAATGGGAATCATTTTCCATCGTATTTATTCAAAGATAACAATTACGAAGCGAACAGAAAGTAAAATCTATATTTCTTACCACAGCAACAAAAGGAAACCATCATAAATTTTAAGATCGGCACGATATTTGCGAAGATTACTCTCTAATCTTGATTTTTCACTCGTAATTCTTAAATAAAAGGACGGAAACTCATGTAGCGAATTCAATATTATCTTTCAGTAAGGAAGAGTAACAAGCGTCCTTCAGCGCTTTCGACAAAATGCAATTTCTGGAGCAAATTAACAACTGAGTCCTAAAATCGTAATTCTCAGATTTAGAGAACTGTGTCGGTTTTCCAGTTATTTATATGTTCTTGTTGAATATATCTTTTTTAAAACCATCTTTTACGCCTTTTTCTGATACAGTAGTGCTTTTTCCTTTTTTTTAAAAAAAAATTAGGCTTATTTTGGCAGCGCGGCGGTCATTCGAGGTATACTTCTCCGTTTAAATAACGATATGCCAAGTTTTCGTTTTATCTCCTAATGCAGGAATGAACCGTTCGAAAAAAGTGGAAAATCAGCTCGCTTTATGCTTCATAGCAGTGGTTGATTTCTACGTCGGTTTTGGATGCAAATACAATTATTAGTAATCTATATAAACATTTCTAAATGAACACGAAAGAAACGAAAATTATTGTCCCTTACCTTAGGTAACAATTATTTCGCTCTCCGTTTTCGTTTACTGCCGTGAAATCTGGTTTAGGTCGATATGGCAACAATTTTTAGTTCGAAAGCAATGCGATGATCCTATCTCTTGATAGACAAAGATCTAAAGTGCGAACAGCAATTGTCATATCGGGCCCGGTACAATCAACTCGTGAACCAATCACGCGCTCGACAAATTTCCTTAGTTGTTTTCTTTTAAACAAAAGCCGATTTGATTAGTGGCTCAAACAAACACTTCAAACTTTTTCTTCAAAAATTTTCTGGTCTACAGAGGTGTAAGACGTTTGTCACGGGAGATTTCGCAACAAATGTTCAACAGGAAAAGTTTTACGATTTGTGTACAGTATTAAGATGGACAGCCTCTTGTCCCAATCAATGACAACTTGACGTTATCATGAAGTAATCGAAGGAAAATGGGTAGTAATGCATTGTTGCAGCTGTCATTAACATGATTTTGTTTCGATTACATTCCCGCTTTCATTGCTGGGTGCTTTCTCATTGGTTGTTTAAAACTCCCTTTTAGTCCACTGTAAATAAGCATAAATAATGATGATTAAAAGGTAGATACAAGGCAACTTAGAAGTATTTTTTGTCCCCGTGCAAATGAAATCTGGCGGGTCTATTATGAACTAATATTTTGAATGAACCACGTGAAATCCTTGGAGATTTTCAGCGTGTTTAGTGACCATATGAACGTAGCCACTACAAGGTGTGCGACTAACGGCACCAAAACCATTTCAAACCAACTACTAGTATGTTGAATTAAAAAGGTTTTTCGTTACTGTGCATTTTCACATAAAGGAAAATCCAGCTGAGTTATACAAATTTTGCTATTATTGCTAAGTCGCAAATAGGTTTTGGGGTTATTTGTCGAGCTGAATACACTTGAAATAAAGTATTTAACGTTTTCTTGCAATGTAAAGTCTCTGCCTTTGTTACATCAGAGACTTCCGACCTTCATAAAATGATCACATGACATGCGCAACGCTTTACGAATGGGGATAAATGAGAACTCAATGCGCAGCAAACAACATTGTGAAACAAGCCTTGAAATTCGAGAAAATTTCATGTGTACAAGTCACAACCTTTCCCAGAGACATGCATTCAAGTCCTAAAAGTTCATATTTGGGCAAACGTTTGGCTCCCTGATTGCAGGCGAATGAAACAAACAGTTTTCAAGGACAGCTTTGTCGGAGGTACATGGAATTTTGCGGAAGCGAGTTGTTGGCTCCGTTTATTTGTGTCCATTTTTCCGCAGAACATGGTTGCCATCGAAAAGAAATACAGTCAAGCGACACCAAGTTTATTCATTTTCCTTAATTAGTCAAGATTGTCTGAGTTAATAACCGACATTCAGCGGACCAATCGGAACGCTAAAATTGCAGTCCAATGTTCTAAATTTTCCAAATTTATAAGAAATTTTAGGCTACTTCTGACTAGCAAGGAATATTTTCTGTAAATTATAGGGTTTATTCAGACCAATTCCAAAAGCCTATGACCCCTTACACTTTAAGGGGTCTGACGTAGATGTCCAACCGAAGAATATAAGGAAGCCAGTCAATTTTTTGATACCTTGTTAAATACCATGTGATGCTCTGAGCATTTTTGAGACATAAATACATTATTGTTTCTTATTATAAAAACCTTATTAGTTGAAAACAAAGGGGCTAAAATTGATCCAGTTGTTCAGAAAATAATACGATTATACCCGACCTGAGACTAAGGGATAAAGCATTTTTGTAGCAAGAACGCGAACTCAACTTTTCGAGTTACTGCTTCTTGGTCTGAAATTACTTTTCGGCCAATAGTTGTTGATTACGCAAGTCGTTAAGAGCTGCACGAGCTGACCAAAATAATTACTTTCCTCTAAAACATACTGACAAACATCTGATGGATCAGTGTGAAAACCTCGCTGAGCAGCTCATTTCTCATTTTAAGAGTGTGGCCCGTGTTGTTGTAAACGAGTAAAGTAGTTTTGCCTTACCGTAAAACCCAATGAAAAGTCAGCCCTGAAAAGCGCTTTGGTAGGAGACCGAAAAAAAACAAACCACTCAATTCTGAATGAGGGCCCACGTGTTTCATTGCAACCTGCCAGAGTCTGGTTCGGTCAGTTTTCTCTTTAATGCGTAAATTAAGAAATATTTGCCCGAGCTGTGAATTTGTGATATATCTAATTTGCGTTTTCATAAAAAACTGAAGCTCAACTTTGGTTAAATTTAATCTAATTGTTAGAAAACGAATCACTTGGATAAATCGAGTGAAAAACGTGACTATGGCCTAGATGCCGTCACTTGATACTCTTGTCTTGTAATATAATTTCGATCCAACAGATAGAATATGAAAAAAAATTTAGTTTAAGCCCTAAAAGGTACATTTTTCGATTAGCATACTATTTCTTATGCAACCAGAAGAGAGCTCGGCCTCTTAAACCTTCAAATCTTTGCATGTTCTCGGCGAAATTGATGCTGAGCGGAAGAATCGTGAATTAATAGCGCAAATGAACATAATTCGTACAATTCGTGTATTTTTTTAGGGGGTATTATCGTCATTGAAACCAAGAAACAAACAAATGAACGCACCACTGTGTTTCAGAGTCAAATTTCCTTCACCTAGGAAGTGAAATCTATTCTTTTGATAAGATGCAGAAAACACTTCCCTTGAAGAAACTCGAAATTCGACTCGTATTAATTTGAATGTGAAAACTACGGCAGCTGTTTTTTTTTCCGGAAAGAATATTTAATTTGCGTTCTGTAAATGTCTTCAACGCAGCACGCCGATCGCCATATGAGTTGTTTTCCAGTCGTTTAAAAGCGCAGTTACTTTTTTCGTTTATTTTCTCTATTATTTGAAATTTTTTGCTGCGCGAAATCCTGACGTAGTATAAACAGCCTGAGGACATTTTGGTAGGTCCGAAAACTCGCAATTCAAATTACATTCTCACTTTCTTCCAGAAATTTGTTTCTTGTCTCTAATGCTTCCTTTAAAGCCATGAAAATAGGATACTTAAGCACCAACAGTACAAAAAGACGTTAAGACGCTTTCACTTGGAATTTTCTATATGGACGTCTTTCAGAATAAATGTAACTATTTTGACTGCTTATCCTATTGAGCAATGCACTGGACTGATACGTGAAAAGCCGGAGTATTTACTCAGCCTTGCATTCTTGATTAAAAAAGGTGTTACACTTCATATCACAAAATTGCTAGCACAAAAACGAAGCGAAAATGAACAGCAAAGTACCATAAAGCAACACGTCAAGTATACTTTAATTTTGGGTTGCTAGGAGCCGAACTGGGAAACAACTCGGTCTATTGCTTATATTCCCGCTCACCTTCCAATTCCTTGAACTCATTACCCAGCGTAAAAACACAGCGGTTTTCTAGCTTGTGTTTGTTCGATTTTCCACGACAAGAAAAAGAAATGAGGAAAGACGAAAATCTGTTGAAAACGAGAACACATGTATGAGAAAGAAAGTTGCTCGCCATTTATCGTTGATAACGTAAATAACTTAAGATATTTTTAGCTCGTATTAATAGAGATTACCTCGTGGTATCAGAGCTGAAATCAGTCTTCCTTGAAAGTTGTAGCTGTTTTGTGATTTAGTTTTCAAGAAGACCGACACAAAACTCCCAGCATTTTGGTTGTACGGCGCCTGAGCGATTTGCCGTGCATGGGAACAAACCAATATCCGGTTCGAAGTGAATGTATTTCCATTAATCGAGGCTGGAGAGTGACATTTTCCGAAAGGGATACGAGAACTTCAGCTTAATTTGCATAACAAACTCACGCTCTAGGTTGGGTCGCGAATGCATGACAAGCAAAATATAATTATTCGGTGTGGAAACTTTGATAAACGCTTTTAACAAGTACAACCTACCTTGATAACAAGCGTTCACAGCCGGCCCCAAAAGAGAGCAAATTGAATCGAAAATGTGCTTTAGTTTCATAATATTCACCTTTCAAGAAAGTGAAAGGATTAAGGCTATGTTTGTTTATACAGCTTAAAAAGCAAAATAGCAATTATTTTAACGATCGAAACACCACTGAAGTTTGTTCACCAAATCTGTAAAGCCTAATCCATTTGTCCGTTAAACTTCGAAGAAACAAAGCTCTTGGCGTATATATTTTATCCTCGCGGGTTTTTAATTTCTCCTCTTTTCCGAAAACTCTTGTACTGCGCGTACAAGTTTGAGATTCGACGACACCTGGCAGTAGTGAAATAATGGTTTGGTAACAAATGATTATTTATTGTTATAGTGGTCCACTTTTCTTTGCAAAACTTCACACTAAAATCTAGTCCACTAGCGCGAAAACACGCAGCATTACAGAAAAGCGACTTAGGCAGTGACCCCCTACAGAGAAAAGGAAAGAAATGCACGAGACATCGGCATGCATCTTTTGATGGATGGCGCAGAAAAATGTTCATACTCCACGACAAAGCAGTGTCAACAAACACGAAAACAAGATAACAGCTGCGCTGGAGATGAAGTCGAAGATTCCTTGTAAGCCGTAACTAAACCAAATATTAGTGATACGAGGTAAATACTACAGATTATGGTTAGCAGATTTTGAGTTCCCATTTCAATCGCGAGAAGCGTTCATTGGCTTTTTAACAGTGTATAGATACATTTTACTTGAGGATGGAAAACGTAGCCCGGCGTTAGGTGTAATTTACTTATTCCTGTTTTAATAACCTCAGAACTGTCAGTTTTGTTGCCTGGTAACCGATCAAAGAAACGGCAATAAAATAAAAGGTAGTATGTGCCTAGACGCCTTCCGCCATTGCCTTTTCCTCCAGGGAATACATCTAAAGACTGCTACCTTCTCCAAACGAGTTTTATTTCGTTTAATTGTTCAGCCTCACCCAGACCTACACCATACTTTTGTATACGCGTTGCATATTCAACACGAGACTCTAACTCAATGAATGGCGAAGCTCTGTCTTTTATTTTATCTTTCGATTCATATATTCTGTATATACTTTTTGTAACAAATGTTCTCCCCAAGTCACTGTGTGGCAAACTCCGCATGGAAAAATTATGCAATGTAAAAGAATACAGCGAAATAATTAATACCATCATTGTGTGCCACTAACAAGGATGAAAAAATCCAGTTGTGCAGTCCATAAAGTATGCTCCGAGAGAGAAGTTTGCATCACATTTTATGATTTGTCTGATAAGCTTAACCTAACTTCGCGAACGTAAGCAGCTCAATGCGAATGAAGAAAGGAAAACTGATTAACATTTTAACTCCCAAGATCTCATTATGAGTAATTCTCCTTACTGTCTGCCATACAATTCTTATGATTTCAGTTCGTAGAATTTTGAATTGGATTAACTAATGAATATACCCTAATTCATAATTTTTTTATTCTCATCACTTGTCTGCTTGTTATTGTATGGATATTGCAAGGAGAAATTCAGTGTTGGTCACTCATGGGAGTTAAAGAGTTAATATATCCAGCTTTTTTTTTTTTGGAAATATTTCGTGTCGATACCATAAGCATTTTTACCATAAATCAGGCATCGGTGATGCTATTGTCAAGCTTGAATTTTTTTTTCATAAGGATATTGTGTTGGTTTCTAAATTTACCCCCTAGTATAATAAAATGAATTTATAAATGTTTGTCTTAAATCACCTTTAAATTTGCATCTATCACTCTGAAATATTAACTTAATATTCATTAAGTTATTTCGAGTACGTCATTTGTAACACGCTTTGAACTTTTCAATCGTTAATTTGAATAGAGGAAGACATAGGAAACACTTTGTTAAAAGCATTGTGATACTTAAAACTTTTGATTTCTTTTCTACACTAAATGTTAATCTTGTACCTCTCCTCTCTCTGTAGCAGTCGATAATCACCATATTGTGCTTTGTCGTTTGCTTAGAGTCTTAATCGGTCTTATTTCTGCCACACGGTATTCTGAGTTCCGCCTTACAGCTTGTGCCGGAAATACGACATCGCTTCCGCTGCTGAAGATCTCACTTCCGCTTAGTCGTTGGCTCACTGTTCCAAATGACACTCGCCTTAAAGAGTCCCCGAACCCAAATTTCCCTCTATTTCTCCTTCGGCACGATTTCAGTCCAGCACCGCTCTCATGACCACTGTCGTAACTTGCAACGTCACTTCCGTTTAGTGAGGGATTACTTTCGATTGAAGAGCGGCTTGACGCACTGTGATAACCACTTCCGTCAGAAGCCAAGCTTCCACGGCTGTGCCAGCGCTTCACTCTCAGCGGTTTTTCCATGACTGTCTCCGTCTCACATTCGTCTGAGGAGGAGTCGGACATGTCGGTCGGCGAAGAATACTGGGATAGCTTGAAATCCTGGATACTATTGTTAAGACTGAGAAGTTGTTCGAACAACTCCATGTCTTGTCTTCTAAGCGAGTTCTACAAGACAAAACAAAGGAAATGGTAAAATTACTTTGAGGGCTCAAACCACAAGATTAACGCGGATAGGACAAAACTGTTTCCAGTAAGCATGGCCAAAGGGTCATCAAATGCGTCAAATCGACAACAGAGGCACAATGTGTGTGCACATGCGTCAAGTTTCCGTGACGTTATCCTCGACACACTCTTGTAGTACTTTTGTTTTTGAGCATGCGTTAAGTTCTCGTGACGTTATCCTCGAACATACTCACAGAATATTGTTTGTAAACGGATAGCGGATCGCATAGTATTCGTGATGTAAGCCTCAAACGTTCCTTTCTAAGAACACTTTTAATTTTCAAAATATGTGCCCAATCATCCTCTGTTTGTTTCAGGATTAAGCGAAGACTTAGACACCCCTCGAATATGGCAGTGAAAGGCAATTAAACAGAGCAGTCTTACCGTATTTTGCAATTGAAATATATTAAACTAAACACAGGTATGCTCCGTAAACATGACCTTTTATAAATCGATAAACCCAATAAGGAAAAGATATAAACAGCAGGATTTGATTGATTGTCGACAAAACGCCTTAATGTAGTTTTTGGACGTGACTGGCAAACAGTACGTTTAATTTCCAAAATATGCCGTTTGTTTGCTTCAGAATTAGGTCGAGATTATCAAACACCTGAATCAAACAACAAGGTTGTTTACACTGGACTAGCACAGAACAAAAGTGAAAATTTGAAAAATCTTCCTTAAGAAATCTAAAAGTCGAGCACACTTTGTTTAGGGCAACGAAAAACTCTTTCAAAATATTCCTTAGCTCAAATCATTGAGCTTCTCCCAAGTTTTATGGGGTCTATAATAGACGTTGCTGGTATCTACCGAAAGCTAACCGCTTTCTTTTTCTCCAAACATTAGGACTATTACGCTATGGACCTTTTGATAACTGTGTTTTAACGCTTGTTTTAAGGGAGATCAAAAGAAAACCGTCCGCATGGCCACCCTTAAGTTCGCCTCGCTTCTTTTGAGGAAATAAGTGTACACTTGAAAGACCAGAACCGCAAATTAGCCATTGAAATTGAGGGGTTATTGTTACTAATTGTGACCCTCTTTACAACTGAAAAGAAGCCGACAAATTTGTTCTTTGACAAAGGGCATAAATTGTGTCACAAAATCATTTTGGTGCCGTTAATTTGGAGATCAACCCAGTTATCATTGAGGAAACAAGCCTGAATGATGATTAGATTCTGTTTAAAGCAAATATAACTTAATTCAAAGCACTTTGCAAGGGAAAACAAAGTCGAATTGAAAGAAATTTACCCTTACAGGACACGGCATATGCCCAGAGACAAAGATTTAGAAGAAAGCCAGAATTCAATAGAATTTTATGACAATTGCTTAGCAATTAATCATGGCGAAAACAAGGACTTGAATTCTAAGGTGCACGAGAAAATGTATCTGCAAAAAAAAGCAAAAGTATAGGGTCTGGATCAAGCAACTGAAAGCAATCATGGGCATTCTTTTAAACCGTCTTTTTTTTTAGGCACCTCTCTCGCTTAGGTGGAGGATTTTGCCAGAATAAACCATTGTTATCATGTTACACAAAAATAATATCGTAGAACTTTTAGAGGTCAACCAATGGAGAAAAAAAAAGAAGAAAAGATAAGAGATAGGTACCCACCATCTCGTATCGGAGTTTTGCTAGAGACACATCTAAAGAGCTCTTCCGTTTTGGATTCAACTTTGTAGGTACCGAGTTGTTAGAACGTGTGTATCCTCTGTCAAGTCCGCTCGAGTTTATCGGCAAATTTGCCATCGATTGAGCCTTGACAAGCCTCGGTTTAACCTTAACACTGGTTGGCTGTAGATTGATGGTTAATTCACTCCTTTTTGAGGCCATTTTGGTGTCGGGAATGTCTATTTCTTTCGCTTTCGTCATTTCGTCTTCAGATTCCTCAAGATGCCCCCGAGTTAACTCATAGCTTCCACAAACGTAACGAGTGTTTTCAGGGCGCTCTTCATCCTCGAAAAAATTCGCATCCAAACAAGTCTCGCTGCGCCATTTTTCGGTTCCAATGTCAGAAACTTGTCGCCAATTTAACACCGTAATCAGCTCACTTCTTGGACGGACGTAAATTTGCCTTCGCGGCATTGTAGCTACAGCCATAGAGACTCAACAAACGAACTTGTATCTGCGTGGAGTTCAGTATCTGTTGTCTATGGGAGATGGAGCGTCGTTTGAGGTGGCTGGTGTGCACTGCTGAAATAAGGCGGCTTTGAACGGAAATTAAACATGGAGGTGTGACGTGATTTATTTAGAGAAAATAATTGGGCATTGTGCTCATTGATTTACGAAGATTCCTTTGTCCTTTGTTCTCCAAACAGGACACCGCGGCAGTTTTCATTAGAAAGAGTCTTACATGACAAATTTCGAAAACCGGCTTACCAAATACTTCCAAAGCTGTCTCATCGAATCACATATGGTGTGTTAAAGGGTGAAATCGAGGAGCGTACGAGTCTTAAAACAATTAAAAGTCAATTTGACCAACCGAAACTGTTGTGTGATTTTTGTGACGAATTCGTTTCACACATTGGTGGGAAATGTTCTTTAGGGGCTGAACGCATTCTTACAATTTTTTTTCATGACAAAGAACAATTGCTGTTTGATCAGCAAGTTTAAACGTGCCGTGTTTGAAGGGAGCAGTTTTACATATGAATGAAGTTTTGTCACGAAGGTATTTAATCCTGCCCAAAGAGAATTAAAAAAGGAAATTTACTAACCACGCGACATAAGAAGATTTTTTTTGCAAAAAGACAACAAAATAAATCATTGTTTATTTTTTCCATCGCTGATTTCTGGTAGTTATGACTGCATCCAGATGATCTTATTTGACAGTTATTCAAAGAATGCTTCTTTGAGTAATAAATAAACCTGAAAACGTCATCTTCCATCGCAAACACCGTGATCCAGTTGGAAAAAAATAAAAAAATCAACTCCGACGTTGTGGACGCCACAAGAACAGTTAGAGTTTTAAAGACTGATAAAAAACGCGAGAAGACAAAACAAGTTTAAGATTTTACTTAACCCTTTACCTCCCAAGATCTCATTAGTAATTCTCCTTACTGTCTGCCATATAGTTCTATTGATGTTAGTTTGGAGAATTTGGTATTGGATCAACTAATAATCTCCTAATCAATATTTTTCTTTATTCTCATCACTTATCTGCTTGATATTGAACTGATATTGTAAGGAGAAATTCAGTCTTGGTCACTCATGGGAGTAAAAGGGTTAAGAAATTCTCAGAAGAGAACTGAATATTGATACGAATCAAAAATGTCTTTCGTGTGGTTTTCCATGACTCCTATTCAGCATATTATCAAATATCGAAATATCAGTTATTTCGTAGCTTCCAAACTTACAGAGAGCGTTGATTTTTCAGAAGACCCGGTGATAGCTTCGCAAATTTGAGCTGTTGCTCGTAATAATTACGTATTAGTATGGTTGCTCCGGTGATTATAGAGATGCGCGCACTCGGATCGGTTGAGGATTGCGTCATATCCATCAAATATTTTTACTTACGCACGATTGGTCGAAACGCAGCATGTGACCGAATATCCCCTAGCCAGAACTGAGTGATATCCAAACATCATCGTAGTGATATTCCCCAATTTTCAAATCTTACATCCACTTTGAAAAGTCTTCGTTTAAAATTTAATTAAAGACGAGAGAGGCAGCGTTTTGTGGTTATTACAGAAGAATTAAGGGAAATATGTTTTTTTTCCTCATAAAGTTTGTACCGGAGAACACCCAAAAGCAAACATCCCACGCTGCATACAGTAAGCTGTTCGTAAGTATTTTTTCACGTGCGTTGCGAAATATTTGAAGCTTGTATATTATTCCTTGCGCTCTTGGAAAACCGTTCGCATCTTTGAACAGGTAGTATCTGCGGTCAAATATCCGTACATATTTTCGCTCCAAATAGAGCTATTGTCATGTTGTTCATATAATAAGCTCGAGCGAGGTGATTATAGCAGGAGCGCTAAATTTCAAAATAGCTGCCTCGCGTTTTCTCATTGCGTTCTCTCTCCTTCTTAACAGGCGTGCGTGGAGAGATGAGCTTTTCCTTCGTCCTCTTTACCATGCACCTTCATGACACGTCCTCGTCTCTCTCGTGCGGTCTTTCAGGATTCGTATGAGACGACTAAAGACGTGTCATATAACCGCAAGAGAAACTGAAGGATAACTTGGTTAAGACGGGAAGGGCGGGGGAAATGGGGAAGCGGAAATAGTACCATCTAGCTACTCCACTCTACTTGCTGACCCTGAAGGGTCGTCCTGACTGTGATCACCCAGAACAGGAAGGATCCCTTCCATAACCAATGAAAGTTCTGCATAATGGGCAAAAATATCCACACATTTTGAGGGCAAAAGACAGGCAACCTGCACAAAATATTCAGAGGCTTAGGCTTTTTGTCTGAACAACAGAATAGCAGGGTGTAGTTGTGAGGTGGCGTGTAGCGTGTTGCGTGCGCGTTTGCTTCGTTGGACGGAAAACACTGGAAACCAGTTTAAGTAGCCCAACATGGCGGCGCCAAGTTTAAGATGTTTTGAGACTACTGCCTATTAAGGATGTCGTTGTACTACACATTTTGGTATGGAAATCTTAAGCTGGCTTTCGGTACCTATTTGCTCTTGTTCGGTGATATTTTTATGGAAAAATTGCATCATAGTGGCTGGGAAACTTTAAAATGGAGACCACGTGTGACAAAAGATCAACTGTAAGAGGTAAACAGTAAACAAAATTACACCAGTAATGTTATATTGCTAACGAGTGAAGTGCTGCTGGAAGATATTTCAGCACAAAAAAAATACTTTAGTGATTGAGGGAGTGGGCAGGAGCTTGTGAACCTCTTAGCTGTATTTGTTGACAGTATTCAAAAGCCTCACGAGTTACCTCGTTGAAAAACTTAAGTGGTTGAACAAAATAGACAGGTGACTTAAATATTTCATTATTACAATTAAATGAATTGAATCATTTGTTGACCTGTTGATTAAGTGCAAGTAAAGAAATGATTGTCACAAGTGGGCTGCAATTAGAAAAGTAATGATGATGATAATAATAATAATAATAATAATAATAATAATAATAATAATAATAAAAGTAATTATACTTTATTTATTGAGGGTTACAGACCGACCAACTTGTGGTCTACAAAGTCAAACAAATTGGATATAAACATTGTAAATAAACATGAACATAAGAGCCCCCTAGATTACGATATAGATCCCAAAGCATAGCCAAGTAGGTTGAACTTGAGACAACCAGTAGTAGTAGTAAACAATTTTATCCTCATCTCATATAAAGATCACTGATGTTACATGTAAGTGAAATGACAATTGTTTGTCAAACTTCTTACCTGCCACCTCTAACTGAAACTGGCCCTTACATTTCTTGTCAAGAAGTTGGAAAGATTTCTTATTTACAATGAATGGACTTTGCTGAAAATATTGATCAACAACTACACAAATAACTTATTTCAAACTAAGAGTTAGCAGGTGATTCCCTTACTATGTTATTATCACATGGTTGGAACTTGTGGTCTATATTCCTCACATTCTCATAGGCTAAGTGCAAGGATATTACTATCCACTTGATAAGCAAAAGTGAGGTGTTTTTGGGAAAATCTCAAACCTTGGCCTTGCCGTACTAACCTTGCTACAGCTCAAGCAATACAGCAAGGCCTCATTTTAAGACAGGTTCTCAAGTCATTATTATATAGCTTACAAATGTTTCTGAAGGAATAGAATATTAATTCAAGTGAAAGTCATTGCTTTACATCTAGTGTATTCCTACAGCGATGGTATTTATTTTAGTGTAGTGATGTCACAACTTGATTAGAGCAATATTGAGTGATTCTCAAGGCAAAATATCAGTGCCTAAAGAAAAGACAGAATTCTGCCCTGAAATAGTTTAATGGGGTATGATCTCTTGTGATAGAAATACAAGCACTATGAAATGCACCATCCTCTTCCACAATAGATCTTCAAGGTTTTGGAGATTTATGGATGAGCTTTATAACCCAGTTAAAGATCTAAATTGAGTTGAAACAAGAATTGTTACTGCCAGCAGAAACCACTTGGCTGTTTAAATCAGCTGTTCTTGGAAGCTGACTTTTCTTGTTTGTATGTAGCAAGGGAATTTATTAACTAGAGGTAAATTGCTGCAAGACAGTACTTAACAAAGGCAAAATTCAATTCTTCAGTTACAATGGAACCTTGATTCAACTAAGTGCCAAGGGACTGGGGAAATTGGCTTATTATATGGAGGGTTTGTTATATAGAAAACCTTGATTTTACAAATTTGCAGAAAAACAACCAAAATGTTTGTTACATCGAGGGATGGTTAATCGATTTTTTATTTTTTCATTTTTTGTGGTATGATGTTGCTCTACCCAGCATTTTGAGATCGGAACAATTACTGTAAATAACATTTGTGCTTTAATTTCTATATGAAGCTAAAGTACACTCTACAGGTCTGTACAAATTATAGCTACGGCACCTTGTTTTTAAAGCACTGAGGACAAATTTCAGTGGAAGTCACTGGCAAACAGAGAAACAATGACATAGAACTGGAATTTCCTGCCTCTTACACCTTTTACTACAAGAAGCCTTTA